ATCTGAAGAACAGGTTACTGATAAGATCAGAGTTCGACAGCGTCTTTGAGAGCTACGATTGCTAATCGGATTGTATTTACATTTGTAGTTACTAGACTTATCCAAGTGAGAGACTGTTGGATTAGTGTCTAAGCCCGTAGCTATATTTGGTAAGTACTTGACCCGGTTGTGCATGGTCCTTTTGGGTTGCCTTCACCAAAGCAACATGTTAGAATGATTTATGAATAAAGAGGTTATCATGATTTATTAATATATTATATGAATAATATATTTATGGATAAATCATATAATTAAATTAATGTTAGATAGGAATTAATTAAGAAATTAATTTTGTGGCTAAAAGATATTAATTTAATGTCAGAGACTTAAACTGTGAATTGTGTGATAGTTGATTTGGGCTGAGAATCCTTCATGGTTAAGGGGTGGACGAAATTGTGGGTAGGAACCCATCAAGATTTCATCCAAGGCCTTATTCTGGAAGGTTCCTTGGATAGCTTAAAGCCTAAGCAGTCTATTAGGGTTTTGATGGAAACCCTAGCAGCTCCAATATAAATAGGACCCCTAGGCTACAGAAATCGGCTACCCTAACCCTAAGAGTGATAGAGCCAGTTTCAAGAAGCCTCCAACCTCTCTCCAAGATCATTCTTTTGCTATTGGTGTTTGTAAGCCATTAGAGGAGTGACACTTGTGACTCTAAGCTTCAAGGACAAGAAGATTCAAGCAAGTAACAAGAGGTAATCATCTAGATCTGTTTTGTAATGATAATTTCGAATTATACCTACTAGATCTAGGGTTTGAAAGTCTTGGATGAATGCATGTACAATTAGAGAAACCTAGATCCAAGCATTAGGGTTTGCATGAGCACATAGGATGTTCTTTTGGCCCAAACCCATCAAGTGACAATTTTGAGCAAACCACAGAGACCATTTGTGCAGTTTTGTCTTTATATTTTTACTCTAACTTATCGGTAAATTTTTAGCAAACATTATTACTTTAGCAACTTTAGCAACTAGGTTATTTTGCAAAAAATAGTTTTTTAAACTATTTCTCCAATAAAACCTTAATAAGTTAATGTTTGAGTAAATTATTTTCCCAAATGAGTTTCTAAATATTCTTTAAAGGGAGATCATATTTGGGTATTTAAACTAGTTTGCTAAAGCATTGAAATGTTATTGTGACGTCAATGATTCTAATAATTTATTTTATGTATCCGTTACTGGTTGTGACCAAACATATAATAAAATATATCAATAAGAATCTATTTCAGAAAAGATATTTAATTTGAGATCAAACCTAGTTTTGTTTTGTTTTTTTATTTTTTTATTTTTTATTTTTTATTTTTTATTTTTTTTCGAATGATAGAACCGTATTAAATTCTAGCGAGAAGCTACAAAAAATCAAATTATTGGCATCCTTCCAAGACTTTAAGTTTAAATAATTAATTAAAATTCTAACAAGAAGGTACAGAAAAATTACAAAAAATCAAATTATGTACAATGTAGCTTTTTTATCTCTCCAAAAGAAAGAAAAAAAGACACGATATCATAATAAATGGCATCCTTCCAAGACTTTTCTCTCCAAAATCAAATTATTGCCATAGGTCAATATACAAAAAATAATAATAATCACAATATCAAAGGTCTTGTAGTGTTAGTAGAAAAAGAACTCGAATCCGCCCACGCAATGAGACTAAAAACAAATGATCTAAGGATTCACATAACCACAAGAATTAGAGGTTATACCTATAAGTTATTTATTACAAAAATATATGATAGACCAAAATATGCTGTAGGCCAACCGACCAAATTCATTTTAACCTGACAAAAAATAAGTATTTTTAACTTGTTATCCAACTACGTCCAATCCGAGCTCCCGCGTTGTCATCTCTAATACATAGTTTGATTACATAAGTTTATTTACGTGATAAGAAAGAAACAAAGATACATATCCATATATAGAGAGAGATTCATATGATCAAAACCTTGAATAAAAACAAAGAACATATGTAGGATTAATTATATGGTTGCAATTATTTGTTAGTTTGTGGACTCCATGAAAGCACGTTTCCACTAAACATGCTAATATTCACTTAGATTTTTTTCATAGTGAATATGAATATCAACACTCAGAATTTAATTATTATGTTTCTACACTCATCATATCAGATGATCGATAGATCCAAACCAAAAAAGTTCAACTTTTTTTAATTAGTTGGGGTACAACAATCACACATTGACCTACACGTAACATCCAATAATTATACTTATATTTTGTTATTTGAAAAGGACATGAAAATTATGTGAAGGGTAAATATTTACTCGTATGAGTTCGTTAACATGTTGATGATTATATCATTAGGTTGTTATATAACCGAAACTAACGAGGTTATATGTTGGTGATTTTATATCATCAATATTATTTAAGTGTAATAGGATGAAATTTGTTGACCAAAAGCGATCTTGTTGAATATTGAACAAGTTAGTATGGTGTAGGAGTACACACTTGTTCAAGTTTTTCAAGATTCAAAGTACACTGTTATTTAGGGGCGAAGCTCCTAAACGAACGGGGGTCCGGGGGCAGCGCCCCTGGCGGGGTCCCAGGTCAGTGCGGAAATTTTTTATTTGGACTATGTTGCTATATTAAAAAATGCATCAAAAATCCTATTTTTAGAAAGTTGACCATTTTTCCCTGATATCCGTTTAATGACAGGTTTGATAGTTTTTTATGACAGTTTGTAACTGTCTAGTGACAGTTTTCAGACATGAATTATATAGCCGTTTTGGTCATTTTTTTGGTACATCTTTTGAAGAACATTTCACATACATTCTTTGATTTCGTATCTCTGAATTTCATCCAATTGAGTGTTCGATCTGTACCATCAAAATACTTCAATTTGATAGTGATTCACGACTTTCAGAGAATCCAAGCAATTTGTTCATCCCCTTTTTCTAACATTATATTGGTTATATAAGAAATTAAGACAAAAGAAATTATAATTAATTAAATAGCAAATTGTATAAAAGACATTAAGTTTAAATAAAATTTCGATTTTGACATTGTATTTATTTTTATCAATTAGGTCACTTAGTTTACAATTTTGTTGCAAATTTAACCAATCGATCGGTTTGCTTCAAGTGTTTTATGTTTCTCAATTGCTGACTAGACAAAAAGATGATGTGGCTTCCGATCATTGGTGACAAACATTTGGGTCAAATTGAACTGTTACGTAGATCTCTACTCACTTCCCCTCATTTCTTCTTTTCTTCTCTCAGAGCATCATGATTTTGTGCAATATGACTTTCTAAGGGCGCTTAAATGGTTCATCGTCCTAGAATGGTGTGTAAGCAATGCAAAGAAGGTTTCCTTTAGGAGATGTTACTATGGGCCTTGTCTTATTTACATCACTCTGGAATGATGAACTATTTGAGCGACATTAGAAAACCATTGCACAAAATCGTGATGCGCTAAATGAAGAAAAGAAGAAGAAATAATGAAAAGTGAGTAGAAATCTAATTAAGCAAGAATTCAATTTAATTCAAATGTTTGCCAATTAAGATTAGGGAAAATTACACAAATGCCCTACGAACTTTTTAAGGTTTACCCGTTGAGTCCCTAAAGTTTTTGTCGGGCTTTATGGGTCCCTAAACTAGGATATTACCTGCTATTTTAGTCCATGTCAACCTGTAATAGCCGGTTCAGTGACCTTTTAGACCAAAAAAACTCACATTGTGCTCCTATAAAGCCAAAAAAAATAAGTTCGAGGATCAATTCGTCCAAAAAAAACTCTCCTTTTCTTCTAAAGTCGATTCACACTCAATTCGTACCCTCCCAAGAAATCGATCGATGCTCTTCTTTTCGTCTTCACCCTCGATCGTCACACACACTCACCGAAGATCACAACCATCTTCCCCTTCTAATCGATTCTTGATCACAACCCCCTTCCACTATTTTCTTTGATTCGATTTCAGTTCTTCAAGGAATTGACCCCCCTCCTTCCTTCTTCTCCGTTCAAAATCGCACAAGCTACCTCTCCTTCTCCCTCCAAGTTGCAGGTTTGATGAATGCGATGTTGAGAAGGATGCATGAGTTTGATGAGGTTCATAGAGAAAATGAGAGTTAATCTCTTTTTTTTTCTTAAATTTGCAGATGATTGGTTATGGTGGCTGACTGGTGGTTTTTATGGCTTATGGGTGCTCCAATGGTGGCTTACTTCACGAGACAAAGGGGGAGGAATAACGGTGTTTGGATTGGGCTGTTCTGATATTGATTCGATGGTGATTAAGGTGGGTTATGGTGGTTGTAATGGCTGAATAAAATGTTGATGAGCATTTGGTTCAAGATGGTACGAATTGAGTGTGAATCGGCTTTAAAAGAAAATGAGAGTTTTTTTCGGTACAAATTGATCCCCGAACTTATTTTTTTGGCTTTATAGGGGCACGATGTGATTTTTTTTTGTCTAAAAAGTCACTGAACCAGCTATTACAGGTTGACAGAGACTAAAAGAGCAGATCATATCCGAGTTTAAGGACCCATAAAGCCCGACAAAAACTTTAGGGACTCAACGGGTAAACCCTAGAAAGTTCGTAGGATATTTGTGTCATTACCCTTAAGATTACATGCATATGGACGCCATATTAGCTTTTTTGCTTAATCAGCAAATGAGAAACATGAAACACCAAAAAACAAGCAGCTCGATTAGTTAAATTTGCAACAAAACTATAAACTTAATGACTTAATTGTGAAAATACAAAACACAATGTCAAAATCAAAATTTTGTGTAAATTTAACGTCTTATTATGCAATTTGTCATTAATTAAATCATTACTTATAAAAGTGTATATAAATTTGAAATAAAAATTTAAATCCAAATGTTTTAGTTTATCTTTCAAAGTTTAGCCCCAAAGATTTTTTTAAGATTATACAACCAAATAACATATGATCAAATTAGATTTTCTTATCGTAACAGATATACATGTTAATATAATATATGAATGCGTGATCCACATTGGCCAACAATGTCTATGGTCACACCTATACCCTAATTTAACCTTTCACACACATTTCCTTAATTTATTCTCATATAATGAAGTCATAACACGAAGTAACATTAATCTCCAAAGCAATGGGGTCTGGTTTTTCCACCGCCGACGAGGACGGATCTGATCCGGCGAAGAATAGTAGAACACGATCGCCGGGTCTTGGAGAGTTACCGGAGAACTGTTTGGCTATGGTTCTGTCATACTTAGACCCACCTGATATCTGTAACCTGGCCAGAACCAATCGGGCTTTTTATCATGCATCGTCTGCTGATTTTATATGGGAATCCAAGTTGCCTGAAAACTACCGGATTCTCGCCAGGAAACTGGTGTTGTACGATGGGAGTCTTGCATGTTTTGGGAAGAAAGACATTTATGCTGGTTTGTGTTCTCCCGTTCGCTTCTCCAGTGGTACAAAGGTAGGAACTCTCTCTCTCTCTCTCTCTCATACACACACACCACACGAAACGCCATTAATGGAGGTAGGGTGATGCAGGAAGTGTGGATAGAGAAAGAAAGCGGAGGAATGAGCATGTTGGTTTCCTGGAAGGGGATGAAGATAACAGGCATCGATGATCGCAGATACTGGAGCCACATTCCCACACTCCAATCAAGGTTTCATTTAATTTTCTCGTTTAGTTTCATTTTTTCTTTTTTTTAGGGGAATAACCATTGAAACCCCGAGACAAAAGTATATAATTTGAAAAACTAAGTGTGTGTTATTTGACAATCCACGTATTAGTCATAAGTATGTGAAATGTAAGAGCTACAATTAATAGTGATTCAAATTGTGATATCAATATCTGACAGCTACTTCCCAGTGTATCAATCTCAAAATTAATCTTCCTAACATCAACAATGAATATATTATTAAATTACTTAAATAAAATAAATGATCCTTATAGAAATCGAATACATAATCAAACTGCAACTGGTGTATTTCATAATATCACATTACTTGCTTCTATGACAGGGATATGGATTTTCTTAGTTTTATTTAATATGGCTTGGTTGTCCATATATATATATATATATATATATATATATATATATATATATATATATATATATATATATATATAAAAGGTTGTAGAACTCACTACTCAGTATCTGTTCGGCTAACTGCCGAGTAGCGAATATTCGGGGGTATTCAATAGTACTTGCATTCGGTAATTCATATAGAAATATTTTTAGGGAAATTATATATGTAAAAATCATAAATTATAATTATAAGTTGATTGAAATGTATAACAAAATTAAATACATGTGAATACATAAAAACTGAAAAACACACAACGGTCTTACTTCGTGAATAATTGATGAAAATTTAAGATATATATGTAATAATAATTACATGTGTGTGTTAAATAATAAATTATTAAGTATATTATACATATTAATCACCGAGTTGACTGAGTTTTACAACACTGTTCGTTTCAATAAGGGGCCTGTTGGGAAGTACTCGGATTTTGTAACTCGTCTCGGTAAGAGGCCGAGTAGAGAATATTCGGTCAAGTAATCGGTCAACTCGACGAGTTTTACAAAATAATAATAATAATAATAATAATAATAATATATGAGTATAACTAAAAATTATGCATGAAAAGTCATATGACATTGCCATATAAAGGGCTCATTAATACAACTTACTTAATCAACTAGTTATTTTATGAGCTAACCAGTTGGTCAATATTTTTGTAAGGGCGACGTAAAAATAATAATAAATTGTTTTATTTGAACGTTCTATATTAATATGTTTTAATGTTTATTAGAGAGGTTAATCATGAAATACTAATAATATCTTGGATGTGATAGAATTTAAATATTAAACATTTTATATAGAATTTCACATATCTACCATTGGGAGCTGATTTGTACACAACAATTTTTCTCAATATACAACAATTGATGCTTTAAAATGTTGTATTGTACAACTCTATAATGCATAAATTGTTGTGTATGGCAAAAAACCGTTGTATATGAATCAATTCTCATCTACCATTAGGCTCTCGTTGCGGAGATATTTGTAAGACGATGTATAAATTGATAATATAATAAATGATTTTAATATATATGATTAATGCTAAAACATTTAAATTTTTACAAAATTCTAACCATTTTACATTTAATCTGACGTTTTATAAAGCCTTTGTCCCAATTTGTTTCTCATTCATCATTCCAGTAACATATTTAGAATATTTATATGTGACATTATTATATATATTAAAGAAGTCCAAAGTTTTAGGTTTTTAAACTTTTTTCACTAAAGTTCTTAACTTCTTATTTTAAATTGTGGCCATAATTGTTTTAGACTTTGGCCACAGATAATCTTAAACTTTAGCCATAAACTTTCTTTAGACTTTAACCACAAATCTTTTTTATTTTGGCATATTTGATCCCTAAACTTCTGTGCGTCTGTACTTTCCACCCCTTACTTTTTCGAATGCCATTTTCCACCCTCTAATTTGTAAAATATCACTTTTACCCCCGTCAAATTTGAACACCGACATTTTTCATCTCTTTACATTTATTATCTTGGCATGTTTTCAGGTTTCACGTGTTTGGTCCCTACATAGAAAATAAATTACAAAAACGGTCCTTGTAATTTACACAATAGGTCCTTGTGCATAATTAAATTTACAAGATGATACATATATTTAAAAAACTACATAATGCCCCTTCCTAATAAAAAGTTTACAAAAGTGAGCTTTGGTACATACATAGAAAATGAATTACGAAAATGGTATGTGTGAGGTTTTTTTTTCAAAAATGGTCCCTATAATTTCGTAAGCAAAATTTTGTATACGTCCACTATGAAGCGGGGTGGGAGAGTATTATGGTTCTCATTAATCTCAAAGGTATTTATAGAATACAATGTATACTTTTTTTCTAATATTATTACTAAAATATGAAAATTATATCAAACATAAATACAAAACTATGATAATATTGAATACTAATACAACACTATCTAATACACCCCTTAGTCAGAGTTGGAGCAGAAAGAATGCCTATTGGTAAAAATAGAAGCTTGATTTTTAATTTTATTTTAAAGATTGTAGTGGCTTAAAATATTTTCCCTTGAAGTTGTACCGACTTCATACATAGGAAAAAGATAAATAATGTTCTGAAGATAGCCACTTTGGTAATTGATGTGTAGTGATATCGAATTTAGCATGAACATAACCTACAAAGATGGAGAGAGGGGGGGGAGGGTTAATGAGAGAGTGAGAGTGAGCGAGAAAGAGAAAGACAGTGTGTGCGGGGGAAGCCATTTAGGGAGTGGTTGTTGGAGAAGTTAAAAAATCACACGAGGGATTGGAAGCAATTCTTCAACTTTAAGAATTGGTAGGGTGTAAGAGAGAAAGTAAGAAAGGGTTGGAATCGACAAACGATAGTGATAAAGTGTGACAGGGGAGCATTGTTGAATGTAAATTAGAGAGAAAATGATTAAAGAGATGTAATTTTCTAGATGGAAGAGATATTATGAGCGAGTTAGATGGAATGTGTAAAAAGTGGGGGTGTTCAAAACCGGATATCTGAAAATTTGGATATATGAAAGTTTCAGATATTAGATATTGAATCAAATATCCGAAAATATTAAACTTTCAAAAAAATGTTTTTATTTTCTCTTTATTTAGACATTATACACCATAAATCAAGATTGATTATCAATTTTATTTAACTAGTTAACCTATTAGGTGAAAAATACTAAGTAACCTTAAGAAATGTTTTGAAATAACAAACGTTTAAAATATAAAAATCAAAAGCTAAATGAAAATGTATAAATAAAGTCACTAAACTACATATAAGCCCTCTAACTTTCCCGATCTAATATATATTGAAATAAAAAATATTTAAAAAAAAGTTAAAAAAAACACAAATATCTAGATATCGGATATATCCGAAATATTTGAAAATTTAGAAAATGACTATCCATATCTAAATCCGAAAAATCAGATATCCGGATTTTTACATATTGAGATTTTGGATTATTTCCTATCATATATATATATCTTATATATATAATATATATATATATATATATTATATATATATATATATATATATATATATATATATATATCGTCTTTAACTAGTAAAAAATGTATGGAGAAGGTGATTGTATTTTGGACTTGATAAGTTTTCTTGGGATTGTAAGAGGAAAAATTGGGGTTTTCTTATTGGTGTTGAAAATTCTTGTGTGTTGAGAGTACATACGAGAAGGATCCTAGAGGGATGGAACTAGATTTAGAGGAAAAGAAGTAAGTTGCAGTGTTGGAAGGTTGGACTGCTTGGGATCGACAACATCACCACATGAGAGGTGTTTTGTCTAGTGTGGTGGTGGGTCATAGTGGTTTATGGAAAGAAAAAAAAAAGATAGCAGATGTGCTTGACACATAGTGTTTGAGAGCTTTTACCTTGTAACGTTTGACAAAACGTTCCGTTTTGAACAAAAAGTCTCGTTTGACACTATAAACTTTTAGTTTTTACTTTAAACAAAATAATCCAAATCTAAAAGCTATCTCACGTAGCGTTTTACTATCTGCTACCTGCTACCAGCTAGTTTTGTCGAACACGTCTAGTGACCGGTTAGGCTAAAAACAGGTTGATGTGAATTAAAAATTAAAAATGAAAGAAAGAAAATTGCATATAGGATTTGACGGTTGTGTGTGTAGGGGGGGGAGAGAGAGAGAGAGAGAGAGAGAGAGAGAGAGAGAGAGAGAGAGAGAAAGAGAGAGAGAGAGAGAGAGTGTGTGTGTGTGTGTGTGAGAGAGAAAGAGAGTGGACAACATCATCTAAAGAATGTAGCAACACATATCCAGTGAAAGCAAGAGAATATCGTTGGAGGTAATGGTGGCGGCATAAGACTTAATATAATTTTTTGAAGACAAAATTGCAAATTTGGTCCCTATGGTATGTCAAAAATTAGGACTTTGATCCAAAATGTTTTAGAGTTGCACTAGTGGTCCAAAATAAGAATTTTATTGCAAGTTTGGTCCAAAATCATTTGAATGTATTTCAAATGATGGAATTGCCCTTTTTATTTTCTTTTTTAATTTTCTTTTTATTGCAACAAATATAAAAACATAAATAAAATACAACACTCGCCCACCTCTCTCTCTCTCTCTCTCTCTCTCTCTCTCTCTCTTCTATCTCTCTTCTAAAATACCACCACCACCGGTCGGATATATGAACGTTGTCACCACCGTTGCCGACCAGAGATATGAACGCCACAGAGGGTTTCATGGCGGCGGCGACGGGTAGATTAGAGTTTTTTGGTGACGGCGTTGTAAATTTGTGCAAAACTTTGCTCCGATCTAAGGTGGCGGCGTAGATTCGAGAAAGGGGGTGACCGTCTGAAACCACCGTCGTCGTCTGCTAGAATCGAGTCGGAGAAGGATGAGGGTTTTCAGATATGGAAAATTAAATTTTTAGAGTTTTTGTTTGAAAATCTGGATAATTTAGTTCATGATGGCGAAGGTGGTGTCTGACGGCGGTGGTGGTGTTCGGGGACAGTGTTCCTATATTTGATTAAGTAGAAGTAGGTATAAGGTGTTAGTTAAGGAGTGAGTATGTGGGTAGGGGTGGGGTGTTTCTTTTTGTTTTTTTTTAATTAGAAAAATGATCAAATAATTAAAAAAATGGAAAAAGAAAAATACCAAAGGCAAATCCGTCATTATAAAAAGTTTAAAAAATTTTAGACCAAATTTACAATAAAATTCTTATTTTAGACCATTGGTGCATCTCCAAAACATTTTGAGAAAAAGTCCCAATTTTTTGACCTACCTCATGGACCAAATTTATAATTTTGTCTTCTTTTAAATATAATATATTCTTCTTTGAAATTTTTGTGTCATTCTCATAAATGATTCAAATGTATCTATAGATTAGAATGTTGACTATTATTTTGATACCACTAAAAAATATGAAAATTATATCAAACATAAATACAAAAATTAAGATAATATCAAATACTAATGTAATATTATTTAATAATTCCAAAGTCATACCCACACTCAACACCTTACCTTTCGTCCAAGATATATGAAACTACCTTAATATAAAATATATTTTACTGATTAAAATTATTGTTCATCTTTCTTTATCAATTTTCTGTTGCTTCATACAATACATGTATTCATAAATCGAGAAACAAAATGTAAACTCTTTTACAAATTGTTAACAATGTTTTATAATGAAACTGTAGATTCTACAGCATTGCATATCTCAAACAAATATGGTGGCTAGAAGTAGAAGGAGACGTAGAGTTTGAGTTTCCACCAGGGAGTTATAGCCTTTTCTTCAGTCTCCATCTCGGAAAACCATCCAAAGGGCAAAACCGACAATGCTCATCAATCACTCCGCAAGTCTATGGTTGGAACATCAAGCCTGTTAGGTTCCAATTTTCAGTATCCAATGGTCAGCATGTAACATCAGAACAGTTTCTAAATGAGCAAGGAAAATGGTTACGTTATCATGTTGGGGATTTTGTGATCGAGGACTTGTGTAAGCCCACAAAAATTAAGTTTTCAATGACACAAATTGATTGTACTCATCAGAAAGGTGGTTTAGCGTTAGACTCATTATTCATTTGTCGTAATCAGCTTGCAAGTGGACGATGACAAGTTGGATGTGTAACAACATTGTTTCATAAATTTAGGATCAATAATGAAAAGGTTGTGATTTTTTTTTTTTTTTTTTTTTTTGTAATAGCATCAATATATCAAAAAGTGAATGAGTTCTCTAATCATATTTGACTTTTACTTATGTTATAACTTAATAACTACTGTGATGATTGATATATACGAAGGCGATTTTATGGTTTCTAACAATTATTTTGCTACGAATGCTATCAGTACGATGATTGAAATATTTTGATTTTGATTCCTCTTTTTGTATTATACCAAAAACAGTGGCCAGTTTATAATAAAACTCTAATTACGAATGTACTAATTCATTATTTTATAAAAGGAATATGTTGTTCACATTAATGTAATTGCCAAAGTCATAATTCTTATACATAAAACAATGATATCGTGTAATTTAAATTACATTTTATCACAATTATGTTAAATCTCATAATAAAATATCACTGCAACAAAACAGTCTTTCACATACGGCAGACTTTGTCGCTACTCGCTAATCCATATGTGATTCACAAAAGGAACAAAAGTATCTGTTTCTAATCTAATCAGATAAATTTTAATTTCCACAAGCTATGAAACCAAATTTAAGCATCCAAATTGCGACATATCACATATGTGTCACATATTGACAATAAAAATTGACGAATGCTTAATTTAGCAACGTACAATATAGTGACGGATTAACGATGACCACGATTGATTGCGACAGTACGTGTGTGTAGTTGGTATAGAGATCCACCGGCAGATTTGCCACGGATGGTCATCGCTATTTTCAAAAAACAAATTATAGAATTACAGAAAATCCTAATTTTTTTGTCAAAAGAAAATTCTAATTATAGAAAACAAAACAAACTCAGTTTTAGTATCTACACAATAATAAACAGAAACATAAAATTAAAATTTAATAATATATATATATATATATAAATATATTATATATATATATATATATATATATATATATAAACACAAAACTACTACCATGAGCCGCAATCATCCGATGTGATCAATTTTTCGTAAAGGTATTGAATTTACATTTAAAGGATTCGCGTCTGATAAAGTAATCATGAAACATTGACCTATATACTATTTGTTGACCATAATTCATGAACTTGGTTAGGGCCGAATGTAGTGTTGATTTCCGCACTGCCTTGCAATGATTTTATAGAATAGCACTCGTATTTTGTTGGAGATGGGCCTCATGCTATTCACATTCTCTTCAAGGTATATGTTCAAACTCTTATGTTCTATTCAACAGATTTCTTCCTACTTTTCATAGAATTTCGCCTTTCCAATTAAGTAATACAACTCTTATGTTCTATTCGACAGACATCGTCATTTTGTAACAAAGTTCCTTTTTCTAACACTTTGTTAATCTTTAATAGAATTTCGCCTTTCCAAAATTAAAGAAATGGTTATGATATCTGATTGTGTTTAGTATTCACACTAAAAGTCAAGAGAACTACACAACATTTAAAGAAGAAACATAAACTAAAAGTTATATTGTAACTTACAAGAGACGGTTCATAATCATGATTTAGATTGTTTGTATTCACACTAAAAGTCAGATAACATTCTCAAACATACTGAAAATGCAACATTTGACTTTATACAAAATTTGGTTATTCTTCTTATACGTAACTACTATATATTTAACTAATAAATTTGAAGAAAACATAGATATACCATAATATACTAGAACAAGTGTTAATTATAAACAACAGGATAAATATAAAAAGTAAACTATTTTCAGAATAAAGTGAATTGTGATGTGGAACGTATTAATTCCACATTTTTATTCACGATATAAAAGAAGAGGATAATTTAAAAAAAAAAAAAAAAAAAAAAAAAAAAAAAAAAAAAAAAAAAAACAGGACATGATTGAAGTTAGAATAAAGACGACAGATGTCTCAAACATTATAGAATCGAAAACGATGGTAAACATTACTACCAACATGTGAAAAAGATTAATCTATTGTTTTCTTATCAATATTGTTTTTTTTTTTTTGTCTGCGTTTTTACAAAAAAACTATTAGTATGTTTTTATATTACAGTATCTGATATCATATGATAACAAATAACAAATATGATTATTAACTCGTAACAAGAAAGTGCTGCATGCAATGACTTCATAGTTTTAACTGAAACAATGTACAGAGTTGTATTACTTAATTGACTTTTAGTAGATCATTTATATTACAATTAGTTTCTACACTATCTAAATTATTACTGTTAAGTTGTAAATTGTTGCGTACTTGCGTTCCAGTTTTGCAACGATCGTATTCAGTTTTTTCATAACAAACCAAGCATCGGATTTTATTAAGATGTGAGTTACTTCCATATCATATAATTAAACAATATATGTTTAGTACATTTATCTACTTTAACCATTCAAGTTTTAATATTTTTAAACTTTAACAAAAATGACTATTTTATTCATCCAGACCTTTTAATTTCTTTCCTTCTAGCATATTTACATGCCAAATAATCATATATTCAAGTTTTAAGTCATTTCCAAAATTTTCCAGTTTTATATTATAACGGCAATTTAACTAAAATTGCTATATTTTAGTCTTTTACATCTAAATGATGTATTATATGATGTTTAACCAAACACATGTATTTTCAAACTTAATGTTACCATCTAATATATAGCTTCAAAATTTTTGACTTTGTCCATGTTTTTAAGATCCTTTGCAGAAGCACACACTAATAACCATTTTACCCATTGCATTTTTTTTATTATTAGCGATGGAATTCACAATTTCATTCCATTCCTTTCTTAATCACCTTGTTTGTGGTTTAAAGTATTCATCATGATGTAACAATATATTTTTGTCCCAAATAGCAAACTTCAATTAGCTTCTTAATCATAAATATAAATTTTCAAATTCTCGTCTTAAGTTAGATTTTTACCAAAAATCGGTTATGTTATGGCTAATTGATTATTATCAAGCTAAGTAGCTCCATTTTCTTGTTTATTTGGTTTTGCTAACTCATACCTAATGATATTTTACAAGTCCAAACTCAATTTTAACATATATTGAAGATATTCCAAGTAGTTACATTTTTATGCTAGATGTCTGACATTGATAAAAAGTCAAAACCGTCAAATTTTGTCACCATCAAAGTTCAAGATTTTGATTCTTTTAAGTTTCTAACTTGTTCACAAAACATTATTTGTTCTAATACCTTTCCAATATGTATGTACTACTTTCCGCTTCTATTTCATGAACCCTACTTTATTTTTATACACACAATTAAAGTATGAGATGTAAATTGACATATACGTAGGGTTCGTGGAGATTATTTATAATTGCACAAAAGGTTTTTATTTGTGACCTTTGTTTTTTGTGAAACATGACTTGATGTCATCACTATTTTAGTATTTTTACAACCATAACACTAAGGCTTTGGGGAGTGGCATGCGCCAAACCCATCGTTATCATGCTTGGCATGCGCCAACACCATCCCTTAGCACATGCTAAGGTTTTGCGCCAATGTGAGCTCGCTGGTTCACCAGCGTGAAGAGAGATGAGAATTAAGGTGTGTGACTTTTTTCTTATTGGTTATTTAATGTTTTTTTTTTCAAAATCA